ATAAAGACTGACCTTCGTCTCCTCCTGGGAGGCACAGAGAGTCCGATGTCCGTTATGTGTCAATAATTCTGCGTTATTTAAAATTTAGCTATTGTGACCAAAACACATTTATTTATTTTATTTATTTATTTTATTTTATTACACTTTAAGTTCTAGGGTAGATGTGCACAACATGCCGGTTTGTTACATATGTATACATGTGCCATGTTGGTGTGCTGCACCCATTAACTCGTCATTTACGTTAGGTATATCTCCTAATGCTATCCCTCCCCACTCCCCTCACCCCACACCAGGCCCTTCCTATGATGTTCCCCTTCCTGTGTCCTAGTGTTCTCATTGTTCAGACCAACACTCATTTATAAACTCAACTGTCAGTATCTCTTGCCATCTTCTCATCCCTTGAGGGTCAGAGGACCCTCAAGATGGATCAGCAGTGACCTTGTGCATGTGGAGAGGGGCCCCGGGGGTGTGGAGCCTGCTGGGCATTGCAGAGCTGGCAGTGCCTCTGTGTCATTGCTCCATGGAGTCTGTCTGCCCCCAGCTCCACTCCTCCCATGTTACCATCCCCAGCCCACCCCACACATTTCCACTCTGAAACTCTGTGAGATGTGAGGGTCTGTCTGTGTGTTTTCAATGAATGCAAGTGTACTACCTATCTCCTATTTCTTACCTCTGCTCTCAGCCTGATGCTCTTCAGATTAACCACGGTCCTTCATGGGCCTCCGGCATTGCTTTGTGTAGCTGTTAGTCTTTTTTTTTTTTTTCTCTCCTGTAGCCCAAGCTGGAGTGCAGTGGCACAATCTTGGCTCACTGCAACTTTTACCTCCGGGGCTCAAGTGATCTGCCTCAGCCTCCCAAGTAGCTGGACTACAGGTGTGTGCCACCACATCTGGTTAATCTTTTTGTATTTTTAGTAGAGACGGGGTTTCACCATGTTGCCCTGGGTGGTCTCAAACTCCTGAGCACAGGCGATCCGCCTGCCTCAGCCTCCCAAAGTGCTGGGATTACAGGCATGAGCCACTGTTCCCAGTCGGCTGTTAGTCTTTTTATGTGCCTTTGACATTCAGTTACTTGCTCCTTCAGATGGTGGCATGCGGGTTGTCTTGAATGCTATCACAACACCTGAAGAACATCCCTGTGTGTTTCCTCAGGACACCTGGGAGGAGAATCAATGGGTCATCGCCACCTTTTTTCCCCAGATTTATCACTAAGTATTTTGTAGTTTTTGATGTTTGTTATAGGTCATATTTTCCTGTTTCTTTATGTGCTTGGTAATTTTTGATTGGCAGTCATAGATTGTGAATTTTACCTTGTTGGCTGCTGGGCACTTATGTATTTCTAAAATATTTTTGAGCTTTTTTCCGGGATGCAATGAAGTTATTTGGAAATGGTTGGATCTATTTGGGTCTGGCTTTTAAACATAGTTAGTGGAACAAGTAAGAGAGGCCTTTAGTTGAGGGCTGACGTTTCCACAAATGGGGCCAGATTCTTCAAGGATTCTCCTCAGTGCCTGGTGTGGCTGGTGGGAGCTGACACCACTTCTGGCCCAGAGTGGGAGTGATGACAACTCCCTGTCTCCCTTTCCAGCCGTTCCTTCCCATGTCAGGAGGCTTCCTTGCAGCATGTGCTGATCAGTTCTCATCTGATCCACCACTGTACAGAGAGGTCCAGGAGGCAAGGTGCTGAGATTATCTGTCTACAGCTCTATGAGTGAGTTGCCATGGATGTGGGTTCTCCTGCTTAGTCAAGCCTTCCATGACCACAGTCCCAGCTGCACCTTGACCACCAACCTGTGAGAGACCCCAAGTCAGAAACTCAACACCCAACTAAGCCACACCCAATCCCTGCCCTCAGATGCTGTGTGAAATAGTACATGCTTGGAGTGCTAAGCCAATAGGCTTGGGGTAATCTATTTTGTAGCAGGAGATAACCAGCACATATGCTAATGTGTGCCCACCTGTACACCTATGCACACATGCTCCCTCCATCCATGCCTTCTGCTCCCTTCTATCCCCATGTTCCCGACCAATGCCTTTTGAGGCTCAGCTTCCCTACCAGATGCCCTTGATTCTTTTAGAGGGAGGAACTCTCCTGTGGATGACCCTAGACCCTTCTCTGTGCCTACACTTTAAGGACACCTGTCTTCTACCTTGTTATCACCTTTCCTGTGTGATTTCTGCCTCCCTTCCCACTCTGTGTTTCCTGAGGGCAGGAGCTGGGCCAGGGACATGAACATCTGTGACTCCATATCTGGTTGTCCCACTGTGGAGATGTCACATGCCCTCACACACCACAGCAAAACCCTCTCCTACATCTGACCCTGTAGAGCTCACCTGACACCACACATGCATCCATGCCTGGGTTTCCCATATTATGGGTCAGGGAAACAATTTCTCACACCTGCAGGGCTGGCTCTACTCACACACCTGAGACTTGGGCCAGAAGGAGCCTTTCAGGATATGGGACTGCTATGGTTTGAATGTGCTCCCCAAACTTTCGGTGTTGGAAACTTAGTCCCCAAATCCATATGTTTATTGGAGGTAGGGTCTTTGGAAGGTGATTGTGGTTATAAAAGGTCATTTGGGTGGGGCCCCCATGATGGGACCAGTGGCTTTATAAGAAGGGGAAGAAAGACCTGATCTGGCACAATCTTGTACTGTCTCCACATGATGCCCTCTGCTATGTGAAACTGTAGCAGGGAGATCCCCACAAGATGCCAGTGCCATGGCTTCCCAGTCTCCAGAACTGTGTGCTTAAGACTAGATCATTTATAAAGAAAAGAGGTTTAATTGACTCACAGTTCCAAATGGCTGGGGAGGCCTCGGGAAACTTATAATCATGGCAGAAGTTGCAGAAGAAACAAAGGCCCATCTTACATGGTGACAGCCAAGAGTGAGTGAACGAAGGAGGGATCCCCTTATAAAACCATCAGATCTCTTCTCACAGCTCCACTAGGCAGTGCTCCAGTGGGGACTCCTTGTGGGGGCTCCAACCCCACATTTTCCTTCCATACTGCCCTAGCAGTAGCAGAGGTTCTCCATGAGGGCTCCACCCCTGCAGCAGACTTCTGTCTGGACATCTAGGCATTTCTGTACACCCTCTGAAACATAGGCAGAGGCTCCAAATCTCAACTCTTGTCTTCTGTGCACCTGCAGGTCCAACACCATGTGGAAGTTTCCAAGGCTTGGGGCTTGCACCTTTTGAAACCATGGCCCAATGTGTACCTTGGCCCCTTTTAGCCATGGCTAGTGCTGGAGCAGCTGGGACTTGGGATACCATGTCCCAAGGCTGCACAGATTAGCAGGGCCTGGGGCCTGTCCACAAACCATTTTTTCCTTCTAGGCCTCCAGGCCTGTGATGGGAGGGGCTGCTATGAAGAACTTTGAAATGCCCTGGAGACATTTTCCCCATTGTCTTGGCTATTAACATTCAGGTCCTTGTTACTTATGCAAATTTCTGCAGCCAGCTTGAATTTCTCCCCAGAATTTTTTTTTTTTTCTACCACGTGGTCAGGCTGCAAATTTTCTAAACTTTTATGCTCTGCTTCCCTTTTAAGTAAAAGTTCCAATTTCAAACCATCTTTGTGTGAATGTGTATGACTAAATGCTTTCAGAATCAGCCAGGTCCCTTATTGAATGCTTTGCTGCTTAGAAATGTTTTCTGCCATATACCCTAAATCTTCTCTCTCAAGTTCAAAGTTCCACAGATCTCTAGGGTAGGGGCAAAATGCTGCCAGTCTCTTTACTAAAGCATAGAAAGAGTGACCTTTGCTCCAGTTTCCAATAAGTTTCTCATCTCCACCTGCGACCACCTCAGCCTGGACTTCATTGTCCCTATCACTATCAACAGTTTGATCCAAACAAGTCTCTAGAAAGTTCCAAATTTTCCCACATCATTCTGTCTTCTTCTGAGCCCTCCAAACTATTCCAACCTCTGCCCATTACCCAGTTCTAAAGTTGCTTCCACGTTTTCAGGTTATCTTTATAGTAGTGCCCCACTTTTGGTACCAATTTCCTGTATTAGACCATTTTCACACTGCTATAAGGAATACCTGAGACTGGGTAATTTATAAAGAAAAGAGGTTTAATTGACTCACAGTTCTGCATGGCTGGGGAAGCCTCAGAAAACTTACAGTCATGGTTGAAGGCAAAGGGGAAGCAGGCACTTTCTTCACAAGGTGGCGAGAAAGAGAGAGAGAAAATCCCACACTTTTAAACCATCAGATCTTGTGAGAATTCACTCACTATCACCAGAACAGCAGGTCTCTCCCTCAACAAGCAGGGATTACAATTTGAGATGACATTTTGGTGGGGCCACTGAGCCAAACCATATCAAGCAGTGACAGGGATGTGGGGAAATGGAATTTCTTAAACATGAGAGTTGAGGTTAGTACAAATGCTTACAAGAGAAATTTGGCTGAAAAGATGTATCGACTCATGTTATTTAGAAGTGTATTGCATAATATCCAAACATATGGGGATTTTCTAGTTATTTTTAAATGATTTCTAGCTTAGTTTCATGGTATATGTCCTCTGTATGACTTTGGTCCTTTGAACTTTGTTGAGTGTTGCGAATGCTCCAAGTGCTCTTGGAAGCAATGCATACTCTGCAGTTGTTGGAATTCAGGTCAAGTTGGGTCATTGTGTTGTTTCTGCTAGATCTCTGCTGATTTTTCCCTTCTTGTTCTGTCAGTTGTATATAGAGAGAGGTTTGAATCTACCACTATGGTCATGGACTTGTCTACTGTTCCTTTTGGTTATGCCAGGTTTTGCTTAGGATGGATGTTATTTCATGCCACAAGTTTAGAACATTGCATTTCTGTTTGGTTGTCACCTTCTGTCATTCTAGAATGTCCCTTATCTGTATTACTGCTTCTTGTCTGACGTTAGCATTGCCACAATAGGTTTTTCTTATCGTTTTAGTTTCAAGTCTCTGTAGCCTTATGTGTGTCTTATATGTTATTCTTGCATTAATTCTTTGGATAATTTCATTCCCTAGACATTTGCTGATGACCTTCATGCCAGATGCCCACTTGAGAGCCTGGAGAGAGTGGCATGTAGCACTTTCTGCCTGCTGAGTGGCCTGCACACGCCCCTGGGATCTCTGGCTCCAGAGCCTGTGTTTATCCTGCTATGGCAAACCACACTGCCTTCTCTAAGGCAGCATCTCCTGGTGGGAAGAGTATCATCTGCTTTGAAGTTCTGGTAAGGACTCGGCTAAGTGAACGCCCACTTGTTAATTAATTCACATGATGTATGGCACACAGCAGGCTCTCGGAGGTGACGTCAGCTGTGCCTGTTGGTGTGGTCTTTGACCAGCAGTGCCAGCATCACCTGGGATGCCAGTGTTTCAAGTTTATCTGTGGGGATTCTTTGTGGTTTGTGTTGAAAATACCTCCAGGCAGGATGTAAGTTTGTGTCTGTCAGGTGCCTGGAGACTGCGGATCTAGGTCTACCTTAACCTGGATTTTCAGTTTGTACTTTTCCACCACAGAGGCAATGGGACTTCCGGCCCCAGACCACGGAGGTGTTGTCTTCTCGGCAGGCAGGCCTTTCTCTTTCAAAGCTCCAAGTTCTCCTTTCAGCGTCAGAGCTGTGTCAGTTTCCCCTGCTGTACGGCAGAGCCTCTGGCCTTGTTCTCTGGCAGGTTGTAGTGTTAGACAAGCTTCTTGCCCCCACAACCCCTTCTGCCTCAGCCAGACCCCAGGGCCCATGCTGCCCTGTGGGGGCTTTGCAACTGCTTTCTCCTTGCAAATCCTCCTCCTCACCCACTTTGGAGATATGGTAAGTCCAGGCTCGCATTCTGGCCTTACAACTCAATAGCTGTGTGACCTTGGGCTACCCTTTAAAAATTTCTCCGAATCTTGGTTTCTATGTCTGTAAAATGGCCACATTAGTACCCTAATGGCAGCTATTTCTTTATTCTCTCTTTGTCTGTTCTTTCTATCCATTTTCCTTCACTTTGAGTGACTATTAACCAAGGCCAATAGAAACCGGAACCATGTATTAAATTAGATGGGACTTGACTTACAATATCATAATGTTTCCTTAGAAAATATTTCACTTTTAGATCTATTCTGCTGGCATCTTATTGCCTCTCTGATTTGCCAAGATAACAGACAACAAAACGAAGGGCCTTAACACAAAAATGTCTCTTGATAGCTGTTGTAAAAAAGCTTCAACCAGAATTCAAGTAACTCTTGCTTTTAAGTCATGAGAGATAAGTAAATAGTACTGCACAAAATGACAACCTACAAAAGTGCAGACCTTTGAAGGCGTTCTGGATGTTGGCATTTAAACACCACTAGAATGTCTTCCAATCACTGGAAACTTCCCAAGACCTGGGCGTTATGTCCTTTGAGTATTTCTCAAAGGATAAAAATACACTGATTGTCCATATATTTTGAGTCCTGTACATGTAATGAGTGCTTATGCTGTATTGCCAGATGCTCTGAAAGGGGATAAAATTTTAATTAGTAGTCAATAAAATTCCTTTCCATTTTTCAATATAATAGATCTGCACACAGTTACTGCTCCCTGCTCATTATTCAGCATGGCTTCCAGTGTCACTGATTGCTTGGCAGTTGCAGGCTATGAAAAGTTCAGGGAAGTTGCTTTGCCTCTCCTCTTCTGGGTGTCATTCCCTCTATCCCATTTCCTCCAAGGGATAATTTCCAACTGGAGACAGTGATATGATGACTCCTCTGGTCCTGAGGACTTCTTTTAGGGACTCCTCTGCGGCTCACATACCCATCTGGAAAGGCCCCCTTCTTCTTCCAGCAGCTGGGGTCACAGCTCCCATAAGCAGCTTAAGAGGCGGCACTCTGCTGTGCCCCAAAGCTCCCTCTGCCTTTGGGGTCTTATTAGAGATGCCTGCCATATGCATGTTTGCACTCTGGTGGTCCCTGGGCTGGCTTTGGAAGGACAGCACCTGCTGCTATAAAAGCCACCAAGAGAAGATGCCTGATGGAGACGTAGCTAGTGCAGCAGGAGGGGGCAATGTAGTATATAAAGGAATGGAGGGTAGACCCCACTCACTCATCCGTCCATCCATCCATCCACCCACCCATCCATCCATCCACCCATCCATCCATCCGTCCATCCATCCACCCACCCACAGTTCCCTCCCTGCAAACCTGCTTCCACCCAAAACTCCCTCCCCTAGCTCCCTCCACTGAAACCTCCATCTACCCAAACCTTCCTCCATCCATCCAGCCATTTATTTAGGCATTAACTAACTAACTACCTACTAGCTAACTAACTTTTCTTTAGTAAGCATTTGAAGACTCTGAGCCTGTTGCTGGGGTTACAGAAACAAGACATGGTCTTGCCCTCAAGTTGCTCAGTCTTGTGTCTGAGACTGACATGTAAGCAGAAATTCATATATAGTGTGATGAGTGCCATCACTGGAGAACATTCAAGCGGAGGGGAGAAGATTGCTTTTGGAGTGGGGAGCTCTTCACAGAATGGACGTTTGCTAGGAGGGGTGGAGACTTACCAAGGGGCTGGGGTGGGCTGAAATGGGAGTGCCTATTGACAGTGCCTACTGACAGCATGGTAGGGACGAATGTACAGCATTCATGGACTGGGAGTGGCAGGCAGGTTGGGAGAGGGTGCAGGTGCTGGGTCTCGAGGGCCTGCAGAAGCCTTGCTGCAGGATTTGGGTTGACTCTGCAGATGAGGAATGTGGAGAAGGGGTGTGATAACAATTGGAATTGCATTTTGAAAAATAATTCTGCTTGCTCTTCAGTGAATGGACCAGAGGAAGTGAAATGAAGAAAAGAGACCAAATAGGAGGCTGTTGCTGTGGTCCAGGCAGGGGGTGCTGATGGCAGGAGATGCTGGAGGCCAGAGCCAGGGCGGGTAGTCACTGGTCAGCAGAGGATGCCATATGGTAAGTGGAGTTGGCAGAGAGCAAGGAAGAGGAACAGGCACAGATTTGAGACAACGCTCAAGCATCTAGGCTGGGAGCTGTGCTGGTGCTGGGGCCATCTGGAGCCATGGGAATTGGGCTGCTGGCTTGACAGGAACGGTCATGGCGTGATTGTGGCAGGTGGACAGTGGGTGCCATGTTCCCTTTTAGGTGTCTGTGAGATGCTCAGGCGGAAAGGCCTTGCAGGTAGTTGAAACATGTTTGAAGCTCAGGTATGAACTGCAAGATGAAGACAGAGTGGATACTAGTGATGTGAGGGTGATGGAGGCAGAGGCAGGGAGGTGACTGGCGGCAGCCACAGAATTCCTTGGAGCCTCTGCAGATGCCTCAGTTCATGCACTAACAGTTCTAATAGCCAAGTCAGTGTTGGTTCATATGGAAGCTTCTGAGGAGTTAAAAGTGTTCTGCATTTCCACAGGAACTGCTGATAATTTGAATCTCTTCCATATCATTTCTGGATAATTGATGTTTGAGGTCAAATGCAGGACCTCACATCAGATGATTTTTGGCCCAGTGCTAGCCTACCAGGGCCTCTCTGATTTGCTGTCAATAGATGCGCCTTGCCTCCCAGCCCTGTGCCCCTCCTGCGTGGTGGGTCCGGCCAGGTGGGTCTCGCGAGGGTCTGCCTGTGTCCCTCCCTGTGGTGGGTCCTGCGAGGGTCAGCCTATAGGCTGCCGATCAACTTTGACTAGAACAGGGCCTGGGGGCGGCTTCCCTCAAGGGTGCAGGGACTAGGCGCTAGGGAGTTTCCTTTGGGGGTGGTCTGTACCCCTGTGAACCCGCCTTTCAGTATCTCGGGACCTCCTAGCACTCCCCCTTGGGCACCAGGATGCTGGTAGCAGGGCCTTCCTTTTGTCCTAACAGCCCCTAGTAAGTGCGCAGGCGGAGGTCCTGCGGTTGGTGCACTGCCAGCTAGCCTCCATGCACCCGATCTAACTCGTGATTTTGGTCCCTCTTCCAGTCATTTGACAGATTTGGAAGTTGGAAGAACGTGCACCGCCCATTTCCTTCAGGATAAGAGCGTGGAGGGGCGGGAAAGCCCCCTCTCTGTGTGGGGCGCTGTGGAAACCCAAATCGCAAAGTCGTCTCTTCGTTATTTGTGAAAGAATGGACAATTGTGTACCTGGTTAGAAATCTTTAATTTCACATTTCTTAAACATCAGATTTTCAAAAACGGGTAGGTCAATCGTTAGAGAAACTGCATGTGGGGCGCGGGGCTGCGTTGGAGGGTGGCATCGCCTGGTGTGGAGAGCAGGCATCGCGCGTGCGCTTAGCTGACTCTGAGGGCTCCAGAGGAGAGAGCAGTGCAGGGACCTGCAGTGGCATGATGGTGCCAGAGCTGACGTGGCTTGTCTTTCACATTCGCGAGAGGCAAGGCAACTTTCTGTGGACAAGCAATATTTCCCGATGGAGGATTAGCAGGTTGAAAAGCTGTAAATGGGCACAAACCACGTATCCTCTGCCCCGAGTCGCTGGGCAGGTGAGATGTAGAGTTCAGGCCACACCCAGACAGAAGGAAGTGCTAGAGGCGCCCCCGTCTGCTCCTCTGCCTTCTTCCCTGGGACCTCCGCACCTCTGCAGCATCCTTCACCTCATCCTGCTCTGTGCCCTGGAATATGGAGAAGGATTCAGCGCCCAGGGCTGCAGGGCCTCCCTCGCCCTTTGTGTTGGGGGCGCGTCCTTTATCTTCCGTCCGAAGGTGACGGTGTGATAATGGCAGCCCCCTACCCGCAACAAGCCTGAAGATGACACCTACTCACTCCCACTCCTCAGGGTGGGACGGCCCCTCCTCCGTCACCATCTTCACAGCCCTGAGCGCTGGGCAGTGGGCTCTTTAGGGACGTCTGGCCCCGGGTAGCAGGCAAGGACGGACTCTGGAGAGGTCTTCACAGAACTCAGGAGGCCACGGAGCGTGTCACTTGCCCTGCAGGTGTTTAAAGACCAGATGTGGGAAGGGAGTGGATACAGAGTAGGTGGCTCAGAGAGCCCAGGGATGGTGCTTCAGGGCTGTTCTGGATCTCATTCTCCTTAATTTTTGATCCATTAGCATAACAATCTCAAGCATCTCCTCCTTCAGAGGCTGGGCTCTCCTCTTTCATGTATTACTGTAATCACCTGACAGGTGCTTCCTGCCACAGCACAAACCAGATCAGCTCACTGAGACCAGGGTATTGAAGAAAAGAAGAGCTTAATGAAGGCCAGGCCAGCCATATGGAAGGTGAAGGTTTTACTCAGGTCTCTCTGAAGGCTCAGAGTCAGGGGTTTTCAAGAACAGTCTGGGGGGCAGAGGGCTAGGGAATGGGTGCTGCTGATTGGCTGGGATGCAATCACAGGGGTGTGGAAAATGGTCCTCCTTCATGGAGTCTGCCTCTGGATGGGGACCACAGGACTGATTGGGTCATGAGTCATGAGTTCACCTCTGGGTGGGGTCAGTCAGTTGCCAGAATGCAAAAATCTGAAAATTATCTCAAAAGACCAATCTTAAGTTCTACAGTAGTGATGTCATCTGCAGCAGCAATTGGTTAAGTTGCAAATCTTGTGACCTCTAGAACAATGACTGGTATTAGTTAACTACACCTATATCTTAATCCCCCTTATAACCCTAACTGTGGCCTTTCATTAGTTTTACAAAGGTGGTTTAGTTTTGGGAAGGACGATTATCATCCTTGTTTTAAGGTTAAACTATAAACTAAATTCCTTCCAAACTTAGCTTGGCCTATGCCAAGGAATGACATAGGACAGCTTGGAGTTAGAAGCAAGATGGTGTCAACTATGTCAGATTTCTCTCACAGTCAAAATTTTGCAAAGATAATTTCATTATTTCTAAAATTGTCATGATTTAAAAACACCAGGCAGCAAGTCCCTTCAGTCAGTTGAGTAAAAACAATCATTTGAGATAAAAAAATGAGCAGATAAGTTAGCTACAGGGCAATTTCCCCTATTTTCACTCAGTGGTTTTGCCTTAGGTAACTCAGAGTAACAGATATGGCAAGACATTTAACCCTGGGGCGTGGAAGAGTCTTAAAGACCTCCTGGTCTGCTCCCCTGATTTTACAGATGAGGAAACTGAGACCCAGAGATGGGATGTGATTTGTCCAAAGGATCCGTGTCTTATTCAAGGGGCACAGTGACCAGGCCAGCTTTCTGACTCCCTGTCTTGTGCCTTCCTAGCTAATAAGTGAAAGCTGCTACATCAGTTTTACAGGGTGGATGCACGTATGGGTGCTTGTGGCACTGAAAAACTGTGAGGAACCCCCACATAGGCAGACCACCACTGGAGCTCTTTTGGCTTCTAAAATCCTTTCATCAGCGAGATCTGTTACTGGACTAACCAACAGACATGTCTGTGTTGTACCTCTCATTGACAGGTTACCACAGAAGGATGTTGAGGGCTCTGTGACTTGGTCTTGCTACATTCACCCAACAAGTGGTGCAAAGAGAGATGGGGGCATCAGTGCTAGGAAGAGGGGAGGGTTCTTGGCAGAAGCAGGGAGCATCCAACGAGCTGGGGGCTGGGGTTTTGGCAGCGGGGAAAGTCAGTGCCCATGCTGTAGGTCACAGTGAAACTGACACAGGTGCCCCAAGAAGGGATCTCTAGTGCAGGCAGTGAAGGCCTTGCCTATAGAGAATTTTACAACAATAATAAAACTGTCTGACACCTCTCTGCTTGTTATTATGACTATGCACTGGCAATACTAAACAGTGTCAGTAATAAAATATTGCTTCCTGAAAAAATTCCTTTATTGTGTTGAGCAATAAAGAAATTCCAAGCTCCCTCAACTGACTGAATGGATCCCCTCTTGGCCAATGGAACCCCAGGGGAACCCTGGAAGCTGAATTCATGGCCATGATGAGACGGGAGATCAGATATAACCTCACTGACCCCTCCCTTGTGAACAGCCATTAGGTTTTCTTCCCTAAGAGTTAAACAGAAACTAGGCCTTTCAAAAGACTGCTAGCTGACCGTCCCAGGTACAGAGCAAAGACAAAGCATGAGATTAAGCTCATCATTCCTTCACCCCTCCCCAAGACCTCTGCTTCCTCCATTCCCTTTTTCTTCAAATGTTCACCTTATCTTATGTAAAATGTAGATTTACTTGGCGTTAACTCAAATCTCACAAATATGTAATCATTTCTCTCACTGCTGTTCCCTTTCTTATTTGGAAACTATTTGGATAAAAGAAACTTATTTGGATAAAAGAGCCACAGATGCCTCTGTGACTTGACTTTCTCCTGGGCACATCCTCCAGCTGGCTCGAAAGCCTTGATGATTTGAGACTTATGCCACAATCACTCATTTTGGTTGTCAGTTTGTATATTATATATAAGCTTCAAATTAGCAGGCATTTATTATTTATCCTTTAAAAAAGTATTTTCTACAGAATAATTAATTGGAGAACTCTCACCTACAGAGGCAGCCCGTGACACACCTAGATTTAGCCATCGGATTTTGTTTTGAGGGTCCACTCACAGCAATGCAGGATTATCTGAGCTTGACTCTGGTGTGTCTTTGCAGTTGATGGCTTCAAACCCCATGGTCCTCCACATTCCTGTGTTTACACTGTTGGTTCTGTAATCACCCAATGGGTTCTTCCTGGCTACTGCACAGACAAAACCAATTCACTGAGGCCATGGTATTGCAGTAGAGAAAGAGTTTAATTGATGCAAGGCCTCTGAGAGGGAGGACTGGAGTCATCACTCCATTCAGACTCCCTGAGAACTCAGAGGCTAGGGTTTTTATGGATAACTTGGTAGGTAGGGGACTAGGGAATGAGTACTGCTGACTAGCTGGGGATTAATTAATAGGGATGTGGAAAATGGTCTTCATGCACTGAGTCTGCCTCTGGGTGGGGCCACAGGACAAGTTGAGTCATGGGTTCAGATGGGATCAGTCAGGGACCAGAATGAACATATCTGAAAAACATCTCAAAAGGCCAACCTTAGGCTTTACAATAGTAATG